TCTCAACTGCATCTCCTCATTCTCTCAACTGCATCTCCTCATTCTCTCAACTGCATCTCCTCATTCTCTCAACTGCATCTCCTCATTCTCTCAACTGCATCTCCTCATTCTCTCAACTGCATCTCCTCATTCTCTCAACTGCATCTCCTCATTCTCTCAACTGCATCTCCTCATTCTCTCAACTGCATCTCCTCATTCTCTCAACTGCATCTCCTCATTCTCTCAACTGCATCTCCTCATTCTCTCAACTGCATCTCCTCATTCTCTCAACTGCATCTCCTCATTCTCTCAACTGCATCTCCTCATTCTCTCAACTGCATCTCCTCATTCTCTCAACTGCATCTCCTCATTCTCTCAACTGCATCTCCTCATTCTCTCAACTGCATCTCCTCATTCTCTCAACTGCATCTCCTCATTCTCTCAACTGCATCTCCTCATTCTCTCAACTGCATCTCCTCATTCTCTCAACTGCATCTCCTCATTCTCTCAACTGCATCTCCTCATTCTCTCAACTGCATCTCCTCATTCTCTCAACTGCATCTCCTCATTCTCTCAACTGCATCTCCTCATTCTCTCAACTGCATCTCCTCATTCTCTCAACTGCATCTCCTCATTCTCTCAACTGCATCTCCTCATTCTCTCAACTGCATCTCCTCATTCTCTCAACTGCATCTCCTCATTCTCTCAACTGCATCTCCTCATTCTCTCAACTGCATCTCCTCATTCTCTCAACTGCATCTCCTCATTCTCTCAACTGCATCTCCTCATTCTCTCAACTGCATCTCCTCATTCTCTCAACTGCATCTCCTCATTCTCTCAACTGCATCTCCTCATTCTCTCAACTGCATCTCCTCATTCTCTCAACTGCATCTCCTCATTCTCTCAACTGCATCTCCTCATTCTCTCAACTGCATCTCCTCATTCTCTCAACTGCATCTCCTCATTCTCTCAACTGCATCTCCTCATTCTCTCAACTGCATCTCCTCATTCTCTCAACTGCATCTCCTCATTCTCTCAACTGCATCTCCTCATTCTCTCAACTGCATCTCCTCATTCTCTCAACTGCATCTCCTCATTCTCTCAACTGCATCTCCTCATTCTCTCAACTGCATCTCCTCATTCTCTCAACTGCATCTCCTCATTCTCTCAACTGCATCTCCTCATTCTCTCAACTGCATCTCCTCATTCTCTCAACTGCATCTCCTCATTCTCTCAACTGCATCTCCTCACTGCATCTCCTCATTCTCTCAACTGCATCTCCTCATTCTCTCAACTGCATCTCCTCATTCTCTCAACTGCATCTCCTCATTCTCTCAACTGCATCTCCTCATTCTCTCAACTGCATCTCCTCATTCTCTCAACTGCATCTCCTCATTCTCTCAACTGCATCTCCTCATTCTCTCAACTGCATCTCCTCATTCTCTCAACTGCATCTCCTCATTCTCTCAACTGCATCTCCTCATTCTCTCAACTGCATCTCCTCATTCTCTCAACTGCATCTCCTCATTCTCTCAACTGCATCTCCTCATTCTCTCAACTGCATCTCCTCATTCTCTCAACTGCATCTCCTCATTCTCTCAACTGCATCTCCTCATTCTCTCAACTGCATCTCCTCATTCTCTCAACTGCATCTCCTCATTCTCTCAACTGCATCTCCTCATTCTCTCAACTGCATCTCCTCATTCTCTCAACTGCATCTCCTCATTCTCTCAACTGCATCTCCTCATTCTCTCAACTGCATCTCCTCATTCTCTCAACTGCATCTCCTCATTCTCTCAACTGCATCTCCTCATTCTCTCAACTGCATCTCCTCATTCTCTCAACTGCATCTCCTCATTCTCTCAACTGCATCTCCTCATTCTCTCAACTGCATCTCCTCATTCTCTCAACTGCATCTCCTCATTCTCTCAACTGCATCTCCTCATTCTCTCAACTGCATCTCCTCATTCTCTCAACTGCATCTCCTCATTCTCTCAACTGCATCTCCTCATTCTCTCAACTGCATCTCCTCATTCTCTCAACTGCATCTCCTCATTCTCTCAACTGCATCTCCTCATTCTCTCAACTGCATCTCCTCATTCTCTCAACTGCATCTCCTCATTCTCTCAACTGCATCTCCTCATTCTCTCAACTGCATCTCCTCATTCTCTCAACTGCATCTCCTCATTCTCTCAACTGCATCTCCTCATTCTCTCAACTGCATCTCCTCATTCTCTCAACTGCATCTCCTCATTCTCTCAACTGCATCTCCTCATTCTCTCAACTGCATCTCCTCATTCTCTCAACTGCATCTCCTCATTCTCTCAACTGCATCTCCTCATTCTCTCAACTGCATCTCCTCATTCTCTCAACTGCATCTCCTCATTCTCTCAACTGCATCTCCTCATTCTCTCAACTGCATCTCCTCATTCTCTCAACTGCATCTCCTCATTCTCTCAACTGCATCTCCTCATTCTCTCAACTGCATCTCCTCATTCTCTCAACTGCATCTCCTCATTCTCTCAACTGCATCTCCTCATTCTCTCAACTGCATCTCCTCATTCTCTCAACTGCATCTCCTCATTCTCTCAACTGCATCTCCTCATTCTCTCGCCCCTCTCCCCTCGCCCTCCCAGCTTCGGGGTGGTACTGATGGAGCTGGTGACAGGCCGCCCTGCGACCTCTGTGGACCCCACCAGCGACAACCATGCCACCATCCACATCTCCTCATGGGTATGCGCTCTTGCATTAACCGTTGTTGCTATGTGACTTTTGAGTCGACTCAAAAGTCACCTCTGTGGACCCCACCAGCGACAACCATGCCACCATCCACATCTCCTCATGGGTATGCTGTCTCACCTCCACATGCCACCATCCCACATGCTAACATAGCTGTGCAGACTGGGAAGCATGAGAGGAAGGCCATGCCAATGCGTACCATCTTGCTTTTTGTCGTGGTGGCCATTTGTTGACACAATGGTTCATGTTTCTGCTGCCATTCTGTACTATTCTCTTGACCGTGCTTTATCGTCGTGTGTGCACTTCGTTGTGCTCTTCTCTGTCGTGGCACTTCACCTGGATCGCGCTTCCGTCCTGCAGACCATCCCATACGTGGAGGATGGGGACATAGCGCCCATCTCAGACCCGCGCATCTTCACGCCAGAGATCTCAGAGCATCTCCTCGCCATGTCCAAGATTGCCAAGGACTGCATGCAGGTGCACCCATGCCCCATGCCATGCCATGCCATGCCATGCCATGCCATGCCTTCAACTCTGTTCTGGATATTCTTGTCATGAACAGAGTTTCAACATTGAATCGCATTAATGCACCCCCCACCACTCCCCTTCCTCGCCATGTCCAAGATCGCCAAGGACTGCATGCAGGTGCGTGCCATGCCATGCCTTCAATGCTTTTCAATTCGAACTTGACATGAACAAAGTGTCTGGTGTAAAGCTCCATCTAGTACTGCTCGCTTCCCCCGTCACCGTGTGTTCTAATTCCTTCCCCCCTTCTCTTCCTCCCCATCACACCTCCATCGCGCTCCCCCAGCTGCCTGGCAAGGAGCGGCCAGAGATGGTGGACGTGGCGCGCATCCTGTGGGATGTACCTTTGGCGTTGGGGCGGAGGAGATTCAGCTCCATGAGGTGCCCCTTGAGTCGACACACAAGACTCTCCACACGCCCCCTTCCTTCGCCCCCTGTTGCCTGGAAAGGGCGAGCCAGGGATGATGAACTTTGAGACGTGTCAAAACGCTGTCGTCCCTCCTTTCCCACACACTCCTGTCCATCACCTCCAGTTGCCGGGCAAGGAGCGGCCGGAGATGGTGGATGTGGCGCGCATGCTGCGCGATGTGAGGCGCCGTTCCAAACCCGTTCTGCTCCCTTCCCTCCATCACTGTCTATTCCAATCCCTCCCCCCCCCACACCCCCTCCGGCGCCCCCAGCTGCCGGGCAAGGAGCGGCCGGAGATGGTGGACGTGGCGCGCATGCTGCGCGATGTGAGGCGCCGTGCCTTTGGCGTGGGGGCGGAGGAGATTCAGCTCGATGAGGTGCCCGCCTCGCCCCTCGCCTCGCTCTACTCCTACCACCACTCGCAGCCAGCCTCGGGCTACGGCACAGACTCGTACATAGAGTTCTCTGGACCCGTCCCCAAGTAGTGGGGGAGGGAGGGAGGGGGGGGGGGGGGGGGGTGGGGGGTTACTTCACTTAAGTTAGTTTTCCAGCTGTTCTTGGCAAGCAGTTGCAGTTCTGGTGCATGCAAAAGTGGCGCTAAACTTCAAAGGCACTTCTCTCCACTGTCAGGGAATCAAGGTGCATGTTCTTGAATAAGGGTGAGAGTCAGATTTCTTGTCCGCGACAGCACACATGTTCTCGGAGCTTACCGTATTCCATACACTTTTACTGAGCTCCCTCCCCTGCAAAAATACCGTACTCTTTTGGCGTATTCCTACGCCTCATATCAGGCAACCTCATATCAGACTTGCCTGATAAAACTAGCGAAGGATTTCGGGTTTAGGGGGATTTTCAGTGTGAGCCTGATATGAGGTTCGCTTGATACGAGGCGTAGGAACACGCCCTTACGGTAGGAGGCGAGGAAATGGCCCTTACTGGAGGAGCTTCTGATCCAATATTGTTTGTGACTCTAATGCATGGTTCACATGAACCTCTGGGACAAGACCACAAGGGATGCCTGTGCTGCACACAGATGGACGCTGTGTCAGCTACCATACAACTTGCTGTTACAGTACCGTTACCGTAGTACCAGGGTCCAGGATTGTAATGTGAGGAAGGAACAACCAACAGAGAGTGCTGCTGCACATCAAGGCAACTTCATCCGTTCAAATTGAGAGAGAAGCATGGAAAGAAATGCTCCCTCCCTCCCTAATCAATACTTGCTACTGTTTGTGCATCAATACTTGTGATGCTATTTACAATACAGTTTTATCATTCCCAGTTCAGGCTTCACAAAAAGCATCTACGGTATAAAACAAGGACTAATCTCAAAACATTATTATCCATACTTAGGCAGCAACAGGGGACTTAGCAACAATGCGCTCATACGCCTCACGCAGCTTGAGCCCCACAATGGTCTGCAGGAAGCCTGTGCCGTTGTTGCTGCCAGGGAAGTCCGCATTCTTGAGCATCTGCTGGGTGATCTCTCCGTAGAACTTGGTGGACGTGTTGCTCAGATGGCTCTCCACGTAGATCAGCTCGTCCAGCTTGTCGAATTGGCCGTCCATCTCCAGAACAGACACCTGATTGTTGGACAGAAGGAATGGTTTGTGAATTCTCGTGGAAGAGAGTTGCATGGATCACGTGAGGTCTGTGGTTGACGTTCGTCCAATACATGTAATAATTAGGGCAGAATTAAGTTGAGACTTACCAGAAGCGCTGAGAAACTAACACTGCCATTCACTCACCGGATTCCCGAAGTAGGTGTCAGGGCCGTAGAAGAACTTGATGCCCGGGTAGGAGCAGGTGAGCTTGCGGCCGCAGGGGATCCAGGAGATGCTGGAGCCCTCGTCGAAGAGGTACACGGGGTCGAACGTCCCGAGGCCCTCCTTCTGCACCATGCGCACGCGCAGCACCTTCCCCTCGTTGTCGTCGGGAATCAGCTGTGTCGGCAGCACCTGAATCACCACATCCGCGTGCTCCTTCTGCGGGTCTGGTGGGTTTGAAGTGGGGGTGAAATGTTTGGGAGAGGAGGACTATGGATGAAGCTCCGACGATTACTGTTCTTTATTCGTTCATGCCTACGTGTGAGAAAAAAACAAGAGATATATCGATTGGTTCTGGTACAGTGTGGTGGGACGCGGTGAAGCGGCAACATACCAATGTAGGCATCGAAGTCTGGCTTCCTCGCTTGAATCGACGCCTTGATGCTCTCCAGGCTGTGACCGCGTTCAGCCATGTCACGCTGCACGAAGCAAGAATATGTTGGATTATTGGCCCAAATACATACAATGTGCAGGAGATTTCTGTCAGAAGTCATCGGAAGTACTTATGAACTGCGGAAACAGTGCTGAGGAAGTGCGTACCTGGATCTTCCAGGCGAACTTGACCTCATCGCTGATGTCAAGATAAATGCTGAAATCTATGAGATCTCGCACGCGCTCATCATACCTGACACCAACAACAGACAGGATTTAGACGAGAGATTCTAGACGTAAAAGCCAGGATTAACAACAGAAAAAAAAGGCGGAAAAAAAATGCAAGACGTACATGGGGTGAAGGCCCTCGATGACGAGAATGTCGGGGGATTCGATGAGTTCCGGCGGGTCGAGCAGGCCGGAGACGTGGTTGTAGATGGGCTTCATGACGGACTTGCCTTCCTTGAGCGCCTTCACCTGCTCGTACATCAGGTCGAAGTCGTTCGCCTTGGGATCCAACGCCGTCACATTCGCCACCTTGCGACCGTTGCGGTCGAGCGAATGGTAGTCGTCGAGGCAAATAACGGTGGTCATGTCGCTGAGAAGGGTGTTAGAGTCCGGGTTGCCTCCCTTGGGGGGAGAGGCCGAGCCTCCAAACACGCCAGTCATGCGCCTCATGAATGTGCTCTTCCCGCATCCTGAATCGGCGGCAAGGCCGACCACGACGGTCTTATTGCCAGTCTTGCAGACTACGAGCACGGGCCTCCTGACATTGCTAGAACGAGACTTCAGCGTGGCCTTCGCAGCGATCTCCTTAGCACCAGTGGAGAAAGAGCTACCGACAGTCACATTGTGAATCTCGCTCTTGAGAGCACCGAAGCCCTTAGCGGGAGCGGCCTTCACGGAGAGCACCTTGGACTGGACGCCGGAGGAAAGAGCAGCGGCCATGGCTGAAATACAGATCCCTGATTTGTCAGGGAAATGTTGCAGGCCTTGGCAATGTATTCGCATGAGAGATCTTGGGTTCCACATTCATTTCTGTGGGGCACATTCTGAGCGACATTGTCGCACAGCCTCACCCGCTCACCAGATTCCACCAATCAGTGAAGGCGCTTAAAGGAAACATCACGGTTCGTGTCCAATCGAATCGCGTCGTTGTGTGGGAAGCTGACCAGGCTCGCACGAAACAGGTTGGCGAATCGCCATTTGCAGGACAAATCGCAACACACCACAAAGACCAAGAGGGTGTTATTCTCAATATTGTGTGCTGTAAGGGTATTTTATGCCAATTAGAAATATGTTCATCGATGGAGTGTTTGGTGCTGTGACAAGCTCTCTTGATTGATAAAATCTGAGCTTACTTTGAATGTAGTTACCATTCTCGTGATGGGCTGCTAGTGTATAGTTACCATATGCGTTAAGCGAGTTACCAAAGGTGTTAAACGAGTTACCAAACGCGTTAAGCGAGTTACCAAACGCGTTGAAATCGTTACCGTACGCGTTATAGTGCTCCATGTAAGTTACCATTGACATATTTCCCCTACTTTGAAGCGTATGTCGAAAACCTGAATGTGTTTGGCCAAACCAGACCTGGCATTTGCCACGCCAGAAACCCTGTCAGCATTTGGGTCAGAATAGCCACGTCACAAGATTGTCTCTGAAATTATTGGTTACTTCTCTGTAGTGTGAATCCATACCACACGTTGAAACGGAGCCAGGTAACCGGGCTCGTTCGCCAACCATGCTCAGAGTTACATTCTCAATCTGGAAATTTGCTCAAACCATTTCGTTACAGATACCCCATTGTCGCCACCATCCTGTCTCTGACTGCACCTCTGATATTTCCGTAGAGATCTGCGACAGCAGGGAAGCCCACCCACCCAGAGCCAGCTGATCTCATGCTCGTCAGCTTTCTCCCCAACGGCTACTTCGGGTTCCCTCCTAGTGGGCTATCCAGCCGACATCAGCCTCACGATTTGCAGCGCCGGGTTACGAAATGTCGGTTTGCCGCCAAGAGAGATCGTTTGAACGTTCACCCAATCAATCTGAGCCGACGGTCACATCTCCCTCCTCATTTCATTCCACACCAACGGCCATCCCTCCCAGAGGTGTCGGCGTTATTGCCTCGGTTAGATTTAGGGTAGTGTGTTGGGAGTGGTAAAAGCGGTGGGGGTGGGAGAAGGAAGCAAACTTCTCTCGTAAACCTTTTCTGTGGGGAGTTTTAGCCATCGAACGATTCTCTTTTAGCTAAAAGACCCCTTTCCAACATTTGCCATCAAACACAAGGCGGTCTTCGCAGTTCGATTTTGACCCCACTCCTCCCGTTCAGCCTCCAGCCAATCTCTCAATCCGCATGCCATTCCTCTACCCATTTCCCATGCCGTTCCAATCCCCAACCGATTTCGCCTTTTCTCAATTCAATCGTCTCCTGCTAGCCCCACTCTGCTCTCACATTCAAACGTTCGGATCAACTGCCTAATCCGTCTGCGAGATACGAATTCCATTTTCACCGTAAGTTGATGATCCCAAGGCCTATCGTTCAGCTTTATTTTTTTTGTTAGACGACTGATTTCACTCTCTGCTTATCCGCAGGAACTTGCGAAATCGCTCCTCAAGGCGAAAAACAGCTGCTCCTACTCAAGGCCTTTTAGCACACACGAACGCTCTTCAGTTTGGCGTTTCAGCACGCTTGAACGAGAACGAGCTCTCAACGTAAGTTCTGAAACGATGGCGTTGGTCTACCACATCACTTCTAGAGAGTTGCGTTTTTCCGTTTTGGTTCGTGTCGATTTCCAATATATGCACCTCTGATGTTTTTTTCTCGTTTGTGCCTTGTCTCGCAGGTTCACTGCTCGACTCGCGCATGAGAGCTATTGGGTCCGGCGCAACGCGATTCTCTGCATCCATGCGTTTCCGCTCAACGCGTTCCGCTCAGGGCGTTTCCGCTCTACTGGCGTGCAGTCAAGTCGCGTGGCAATCCAGTGAGCCCTCGTGCTACGTGGCATGAGCTGCCAGCATCAACGCTCTGGGATGTGCTGTAACGGAGATAAGTACCCTCTCGCCCTTGACTGCCTTGTCTTTCCGCATGCATGCGCCCCTCCCCACGCTGCCACGAGCGTCTCTCGCTGCACGCCTGCTCACCACCACACGCAAGGGCTCCCCCCAATGCTCAACAGGTAACCAGGTTTGCCTAACAGGTAGTAAACCCCTCACTGCAGGTGCAAAATTTATTGTCCATGGTACAGGTTCGGTTTTGGTACGGTTCAGACTGAGGTACTCCCCTGTGTGTGGTGCGGCAGGCGTTGCTGTCGTTGGCGCTCTCTTCTCCCATGCATTTGTGCGCCTCTGCTGCCCTCCTCCTGCTTGCTGCTGCCACTCCGCCCCTTCCCCTCACCCATGCCGTCCCCACCCCTCTCCCCCCCTCCCTGGCCAGCTGCTGCTGCTCTAGTCAACGTATGCACTTCTGCTGTGGGCGCGACTGCTTCTTCTCGTCAACGCCTGCGCGGCTGCTGTGGGTGCTGCTGGGTGCTGCTGGGTGCGGACTGTCCTGCAGTCAGCGCCAACCGACTGTCCTGCTTCGCAGATAAGTACCCCTCTGCGCTGTGTCGTGTCCCTCGCATGCACTCCGCAATCTCGCCCTGCTCGCTGCAGCAGCAACAGCACCAACAGCGTCGCCCTGCTCGCTGCCACACCCAAGCCCTTTTTCCCCGGCTACCAGGTTCGGACTAGGTACCCCCCTCGCTCCCCTGGTAAGAAACCCCCCCGGTTTGCAGGTGCAAAACTTTGAGCCAAGATAATGGTGAGAGCGTGGTAAGGTCGAGACTAAGGTTCCCCCCTTGGGTGTGGCGTGGTGCAGCAGGCTTTGCTCTCGTTTCCGACGCTTATCCATGCTCCATCCATGATCCATGGCCCTGCCTGGTATGGCTGTGCGTGCTTCCCACTCACTCCTGCCGTGTGTGTGCGTTGCTCGTGGTGGGGAGGGGTATGGGGTCAGCACCGCCATTCCCTCACGCTCCTCCCCTGTGGCCGTGCAGGTGCGCACACGGCAAGGCAGGGAGGAGGGGTGGTGCGGAGGAGGTGGCAGGGGTGGGCAGGGAGCAGCAGGGGAAGGCAGGGGAGAGCAGCGAGGGATGTCAGCCACTCTCACGTGCACCTCACTGAAAGCTAAGTACCCTGTCCTCCCTGCTCTCGCCTTTGCTTGCGGCTCACTGCTCTCTTATCGCTGCTTTGTTTTGCTCTCTCTTCTTGAAGCTTTGGTGCCACTGGTTGGGGCGCGGTTCACAAGCCACAGACGTCTCACTCACTGCAGGTAATCCTCTCAGGTTAAGACCCCCGTCAGCCTCACAGCCCCCTCAGGTCCCCTTCAGGTTTTTCTTATGTCTGTGCCTTGTGACTGTATCCTCGCCAGTGGCCCCTCCCCTCTTCCTCGCCTCTCTGCCTCGCCTGCACGTCTCACTTTCCATCTGCTTCCCACTCTCTCCTCCACGTAACTTTTTTCCCCGAGTCTTCCCTCCCCTCCTTTCCCCCTCCACCCCCCTCCCCTCTCCCCCTTCACTCCCAGCAGCGCCTTTGGGTGGTGTGAGACTCTTCAGTGGCGGCACCACAGCAGCCTCACGCGCCTCAAGGCGCCTGCGCCACTCACAGTCGCACCAGTTAAGTACACTCTTTGCACTTGCCTTCTTCAGTGATTTCGCTCTCACACATGCACGCTCACATGCATCTGCACATCGACTTCCATCCATGCTGCATGCCTCTTCTCTTCAAACCAAGCCACTTGCAGCAGCCTAGCCCACATGGTGCAGACCCCCTATTCCATGTATCCCTCCCCCCCACCCCACCTTCAGCCCCCAGGTTAAGCCTACCCCAACCCTAGACCTTAATTATAGCCCACACTACCTTTGGGTCTGCACCATGTGCCTAGCGCTGCTCCAGTGGTCTCTTTGCTGCTGTCACCTGCCATCCCGCCCCACCCATACCCACCCCTCAATTCTATTCCTAGCCACTTACTCACTGAGCTTCAGTTTCCTCCTTGCCGGTTGAGGGGAGGGGCGTGAGGTTCAACGCCGCCATTCCCTCGAGCTCCTCCCCTGGTGGCCTTGCAGGTGGCGGTGGGGCTGGGAGGGAGGCAGCGAGAAGAGCTGGAGCTCGGGGCTACCATAAGGGAGAGTATCGGGAGGGGTTCGGCCTTCACAGGTAATTCCCTCCTCTGTTCTTCCACACTCCCGTCAACTCACACTCCCTTCAGTTTACTTTTCACTGCAGTTTCTGTTTACAACCGTTGCTCACCCCTCTCCACTCACTTGTGTCTCTTCTCCTCCATGCCTCCCCCGTCTCTCCCTGCAGCATCAGCAGCCAGTCCGCTCCTGCAGCAGAGGCGCATGCGGGCAGGCCAAGGGGTGGCACTCCAGCCAGCCAGAGGGAGAGCATGCGGGCTGCCTACTGCTGCACAAGGTGAGCTGCTTCCCCTCTCCCTTTCTCTCCAAGTTACCACTCCAGTTTTCGCTCCAGTTTCACTTAGCTGTTTGCTGCATTTCCGGTTTCGTCTCCCCTCAAACTTGAGCCTCTGGTCGTGCCACAGCTTCAAGCCACAGACCCCCTTTTTTTAGGTAAACCACCCCAGGTACCGCAGGTATCCTCTAAGGTTAAGCCTACCTAGGTATATACCCCCCTTTGGGTCTGTGGCTTGTAGCTGAGGCTGCACCAGTGGTCTCCTTTTTCTGCTGTCACCTGGCATCCCACCCCATCCACTCACTCTATCTCCCTCATTTCTACCCCTAGCCGCGTACTCACTATTCTTCAGTTCTCTCCTTTCCGGTTAAGGGGAGGGGCGTGGGGGTCAACACCGCCGCTCCCTCGCGCCCCTCCCCTTGTGGCCGTGCAGGTGCCACTGGCGGGTGGGAGGGAAGGCGGGAGGAATGTTGCCATGAGGGAGAGTATCTGGGGTGGGCTTGGCCTCTCAAGGTGAGCCTCTTTTCACCACCCCCTCTCACTGCTGCAGATGTCCCTTTTCTGTCTATCCCAGCGAGCATGCTTTGCCCTCCCCACTCCTCTGCTCCTCTGTCACACCAACGTCCTCTTCTCCCTCTCCTTCGTTTCCCTCTCCCCCCAGCAGGTTGCACACATGGGAGTGGCTGTGGTGGGGGACATGGAGTGCACTGCACAGGCAGCAGCTGCTCTCCACCCAACCCACCCACAGCTAAGTACCCGTCCTGCCTCTCTCCTCCTCCCATCCCTCGCACTTGTGCTGCTTTTCATGCCTTGCTTGCGCCACACATCAAGCTCCCGTCCTTACTGCCCTCTGTCACACTCAAGAGACCTCCCTCCCCCTTCTCTCCCTGCAGCATCAGCAGCCAGTCCGCTCCTGCAGCAGAGGCTCATGCGGGCGGGTTAAGGGGTGGCACTCCTTCCAGCAGAGGCTCATGCGGGCTGCTCCCTGCTGCACAGGGTGCGTTGCTTCCTCACTCATTCTCTCTCCACCCACCGCTCCAGTTTCAGTTGCCATTTCTCATTCTTGCACTCTTTTTCCACTTGGATGCTTGCTGCATTTCCTATTAAGTCCCTTCAAACGTGAGCCTCTGGCCGTGCCACAGCTTCTAGCCACAGACCCCCTTTTTTTAGGTAAACCACCCCAGGTACAGAAGGTATTTTATCAGGTTAAGCCTCCCTAGGTATATACCCCCCTTGGGTCTGTGGCTTGTAGCTGAGGCTGCACCAGTGGCCCCCTTTTCTGCTCTCACCTGCCATCCCGCCCCACCCATGTACTTCTCTCACATTCGTGCCCCTAACCGCTTACTCACTTCTCTTCAGTTTCCTCCTTTCTGGTTGAGGGGAGGGGCATGGGGGTCAACACCGCCGCTTCCCCAGCCCCTCCCCTGGTGGCCTTGCAGGTACCCACGGGGACGGGAAGGAGGCAGCACTGCAGTGGACTGAAGTGGGTGCTGCCAGGGAGAGTATCGGGGTGGGCTTGGCACCCTCAAGGTATGTAATCTCATGCCTTGGCGTCACCTCTCCCCCCCTCAAGTTCACTCGCTGCAGCAGCTCTCTCTTCATTCTGCACTCTCGTTTTTGTCAACTCAAGTGTCTTTCTGTTTGCTCGACTGTTTCTGTTCATGCCAACTCACTTGTTCCTCCTGCCCCTCTTGTCCTGTCCCTCCCCCCCGACCCTTTGCTGCCTCCTCCCAGGTCACTTGGTGTCAAGAGAAGAGTGCAGCGGAGGAAGCAGAGTAGCAGATCGGCAGCAGCAGTTGCAGCAGCAGAAGCGGCGGCGGCAGCAGCAGTAGCAGCAGTGGGGGCTGGGGGGCTAGCGGTAGATGTAGCTGCAGGTGAGGTATGGTACAGGTATGGTATGGTACCAGGTGTGGTATGTTTACAGGTAAGGTATGGTAAGCTGATCTCCTCCTCTCTCTCTTCCCCCCTTCTCCCCACAGGCTGAGGGTGGGAGCACTGGAGCAAGGGCGGGAGAGTGGAGTTCACCCTCTCACTCACCTCCTCCTCTCTCCCTTTTCCCTTCCCTCCCAGCAGCACCCTGCCTGGACCACAGAGGAGTCTCTCCCTCCCCTAATCCCCCCTTCTCTCTCCACTTCCCAGCAACCTCAGCATCATGGCGCTCTGCACGGCTGTGGTAGGTACAGGTAAGGAGGCATGGGGTGAAGTGTGGGGTGGGTGGGTGGGAAGCGGTGGGAGCAAGCAAGGAGTTCACTGCCTTAGGGGCGGCACCCTCTGCGGTTGTGGCTTGTGGTGGTGGGGTGGGGTGGGTGGAATCTGCGCGGCACGGCACTCGGTGCTCAAGTAACCGATCTGACGTGCAAGGCTTAATGGACACCGTCAGAGCCGACCGGCCGGCGGCTCTGGTTCGCGTCAGCTCTGGCTACGTCAGGGGTGGGATTTGAGTCTTGGGCTGGAAGCAATTTTCCACTACCTCACTTCTCCTCACAAGACACACCCCCTAGGGGTGCTGTTTCCGAAAGGGAGTGGGCTGTCTGCTGCTCCTACTGCTTGGGGATGGGTTGGTAAGTTTTGTTGGGTGGTGGTGATGGTGAGATGTTACTGTGTGCATATTACTGTGTGCATGTTACATGGTGAATGTTACTGTCTGTGTGGTATGTGATTGTGTGAATGTTATTGTGTGGTATGTTACAGTGTGCATGTTAAAATGTGCATGTTACACTGTGCACGTTACTGTCTGGTTTGGTAAGGTGTGCATGTTATTGTGTGCATGTTACAGTGTGGCTTGTTATTGCGTGCATGTTACTGTGTGGTTTGTTTCAGTGTGCATGTTACGGTGTGGTTTGTTAAGGTGTGCATGTTATTGTGTGCATGTTACAGTGTGGTATGTTACAGTGTGCATGTCACTGTGTGGCATGATACAGTGTGCATGTCACAGTGTGCATGGTACTGTGCGGTATGTTATAGTGTGCATGTTAGAGTGTGCATGTGACAGTGTGCATGGTTCTGTTTGCATGTTACTGTGTGGTATGTTAAGGTGTGCATGTTACTGTGTGGCATGATATAGTGTGCATGTTACTTTGTGCATGTTGCCATGTGCATGTTACAGTGTGCTTGTTTCAGCATGTTACAGTGTGGTATGTTACTGTGTGTATTTTACAGTGTGCATGCTATATTGGGGTATGTACTGTGTGTCTTGTTACAGCTGTATCTTTGGCATGCTACAGTGTGGTATGTTACAGTGCGTTATGTTACAGTGTGCATGTTTATGTGTGGTGTGTTACTGTGCGCATAATACAATGTGGTATGTGATAGTGTGCATGGTACTGTGTGCATGTTACCATGTTACAGTGTGCATGTTATTGTGTGGCATGTGACTGTGTGGTGTGTTGAAGTGTGGATCGTTATTGTGTGCATGTTACAATGTGCATGTCTCAGTGTGGCATGTTACCGTGTGGTGTGTTTCAGTGTGGTATGTTACTGTGTGTATTGCAGTGTGGCATGTTACAGCATGGTATCTTTGGCATGCTACAGTGTGGTGTGTTACGTATGGTATGTTACAGTGTTGCATGCGATAGTGTGCAATGTTGCAGAATGATGGGGACTTGTTTGGTACGTCATTCTATGGTAAGCTGTTGTATGGCATGTGGGTATGTTATCTACTGGTGGTATGCGTCCTTATTGTGCGATCATACCTTGTTGTGGTATCGTATAATCTCGCATGCCTCTGTAGGGCATGTTGTAGGCTGGTATGGCATAGTGTGGGTGGACCATGGTGTGGCATGTCTTGCTGTGGTGTTTATGTGTGTGATGCTGGCATGTCATTCTGTGGTATGTATGTGTGCCATCTGTCATGGTATGGCATGTCACTCTGTGGTTAGTGTGTGTGTCGTTGTCATGGTGTGGCATGTCATTGTGTGTTCTCTCAACAGTGTGGTGTGTGATCATGTGGTGGGTCATTGTGTGGTATGTCATGCTGTGGCATTCCATAGTGTGGCATGACATGCTGTGGCATGACATGGTGTGGCATGCCATGCGATGGTGTGGGATGTGATGGTGTATGAGATGGTGTGGGATGTGATGGTGTATGAGATGGTGTGGGATGTGATGGTGTATGAGATACTGTGGGATGCCATCGTGTGGCATGGCATTCCATTGTTTGGGATGTGCCATGGTGTGGCATGGCATGTTGTGGCATGGCATCACGTCATCTGCAGGCTGGCAGCAGCTGGAGGCAAGTGGGGAGGGAACACCAGGATAGAGGGTCGAGAGAGAGGTGCATTGCGTGTGGAATACTTGGGGATGTATACTTTGATCCCATAGGGTCTGATTCTGGTCAAGGCTAGATCTTAGTAGAGATGTGTGCAATGTCTAGTTTGCATAACGATACCCTTCACAATCTTACCCTACTAGAGTCGTTGCCCATTCTTACACACTCTTTTACATGGGTTTGGTTTGGTGAGTGAGCGATTGATTGACATGATATTTTGAACGATCAATGGCATTACCCTCATTAACAGATCTCAAGCTGGTGGACATAATTGTTTCTGTTGCGTATGTTTTAATTCGCATCGGCAGAGTTAGCCTTTCAATCCGAAGTGTGAAGGGCTCTATATATACCGTCAGAATGTGTTATTTGTCTAGCCTGCAGTGGGGTACTCAATAGTGAGTACAGCCCTTTAGGGTTTCCTGTTTGTACCAACCTGCCTGCTAGTGCAATCACCCCATTCCGTTTCTATCATTCTCGATCCTGCTTGGCACAACCTTCTAGACTGTGGCCTAGGCTACGAAGCCTAGGCCCTACTCCTAGTGTTTCTGATATGGTATCTAGAGCGAGTATGTTCCTACCGCCTTCCTCAACGTGCCCACCAACTGCTTCCGCTGTCGTTCTGACTGTCGCGCGCCCCGTGGTGCGCGACGTGTCATTTTCTTTCCGCCACGCGCTCCGAGCGCGTGGCGGCTTTTTCTGCCCGCCGCGCGCTCGGGGCGCGCGGCGATTTTCACCCTACGTCGAGGCGCCCCAGGGGCCCGCGCGCTGCCCCCTCCGTCGCCCGTCGCGGCGCCCTCAGGGGGCCCGCAAGCTGCCCCCCCCATCGCCCGTCGCGGCGCCTTCAGGGGGCCCGCGCGCTGCCCCCCGTCGCCCGTCGCGGCGCCCTCAGGGGGCCCGCGCGCTGCCCCCTGTCGCTCGTCGAGGCGCCCCTGGGGCCTGCGCGCGGCCCCCCGCTGCCCGTCGTGGTGCCCCAGGGGCAGCGTGCAGCCTTTCCGTCGCCCGTCGCGGCGCCCTCGGGGGGCCTGCGCACTGCCCCCCGTCGCCCGTCGCGGCGCCTGTGGGACCCGCGCGCTGCCCTGCACCAGCGACGCCGCCCCTGGAGCAGCCGCCCCTGGACCCTTGAGCAGCCGCCCCTGGATCCCGCGACGCGCCTGCACTCGGTGCAGCCGCCCCTACCTCACCTCGCGCCTGCCTTCGAGCAGCCGCCCCCGCGCCTGCACTCCGTGCAGTCGCCCCTGCCTCACCCGCGCCTGCCCTCGAGCAGCCGCCCCCGTGTACCTGCCCTGCTCCGCGCTGTTGCCCTGCACGCGCAGCTGCCTGCCCTGCTCCGCGCTGTTGCCCTGCACGCGGGGCTGCCTGCCCTGCTCCGCGCTGTTGCCCTGCACGCGCGGCTGCCTGCCCTGCTCCGCGCTGTTGCCCTGCACGCGCGGCTGCCTGCCCTGCTCCGCGCTGTTGCCCTGCACGCGCGGCTACCCTGCCCCCCCCCCCCCCCCCTCCCCGTCCCCTGGACAGGAGGGTGTGGGGGTGGCGGGTGTGGGGGTTATACGTGTGCGTCGTCCCTTCCTTCTCCTCCTCCGTCTCCCACTGCTGCAGCTGCAGCTGAGGGGGGTGGGTGTGTGGGAGCCGAGGGAGTGGCGCTAGGGGGGTGTCGTGGGAGTGGAGCTAGGGGTTAAGCA